CTTCACAGAGGAAATACTGCTCCTGTACACAGTGTGGGTAGTGCGAAACAGTTTGAGAAAAAATCTTATGGAAATGGTTCTGATGTTCAACGATCCAGTGCCCATAAAAATAATTTCAATTCTAATGATCATTCTCTTTTATGTTTCTGATGTGGGTCTAGCAAGCATTTGGCCAATAAATGTCAACAGAAAAACCTTTATTGTACAAAATGTAAACGAAAGGGTCACTTGAACAAGGTAAGTATGCATGAATTCAAAGACAAAACCTGATATAAATCTGGTAGATCAAGTAGAGGAAATTCTTTCTTTAGAAACAGAACATGTCAAATTTAGAGAAAAAAATATGGTGACTCTAGAAGTGAACCAGGTAAGGGTAGATTTTGAACTAGATTCTGGTCCAGCAGTTACCTTAATGAGTTCATCTCAATTTAAAAACATTTTTCATAATTTGCCTATTCAAGTGACTACTTTGAAACTAGTAACGTATAGCAAACAATCTTTAAATGTAGTTGGTTTTGCTCCAGTTCAGGTAGAATACAATAATATTACACTAGTTTTGACTCTGTATATAGTGAATTCAGAAAAAAATCCATTGATGGATAGAGAGTGGATGCGACATTTGGGTATTGGTTTCTCTGATTTCGTGGATGTGTCTGAAATTTCGGAAAATTCAGAATTCGAAAAACTTTTGAACAAATTTTCTATCTTATTTCATGAAAGTATGGGGAAAATACCTGGCTTACAAGCAAGGTTGAAACTCAAACCTGAAACTCAACCTTATTTCATTGAGGCACGAAAGGTACCTTTTGCATTGTTGCCAAAAGTAGAGAGAGAACTGGATTTCTTAGAAAAAGAAGGTGTCCTTGAAAAAGTCAACAGTTCAGAGTACGCAACGCCCATTGTACCTATTGTAAAAGCAAAGGAAATATCCGTATTTGTGGTGACTTCAAATGCACATTAAATAAGTACCTCATTATCGATGAGTATCCCCTACCTACAATTGAGACTTTATTTTCATCTATGGCAGGAGGAGATAAATTCCCAAAATTAGATTTGCAACAAACCTATTCACAAATGGAGGTTCGTCCAGACGACCGAAAATATTTAACCTTGAGTACACCAAAAGGCCTTTATCAAAGTTCACGATTAATGTATGGAATTGCTAGTACCCCAGCGATTTGGCAACGCGAAATTGAGAATATTCTAAAGAATATTCCAGGAGTCTCAGTATTTCTGGACGATATCAAGATCACAGGGACGAATGAAGATATACATTTCAATAGACTAGAATTAGTTTTGAGTAGATTAGCTAATCATAATATTAGGGTTAATTATAAAAAGTGTCAATTTTTTGAAAATCAAATCTAATATTGTGGATATATTGTGGACAAATTTGGAATTCATAAAACAAAACAGAAAATGGACGCAATTGATAATGCTAAAGTTCCTTCAAACAAAACCGAAGTAAGAGCGTTCGCAGGCCTGGTAAATTATTACGGTCGATTTTTACAGAATTTAAGTGGGATATTACACCCAAATCATGAACTTCTGAAAGACGGAGTATCCTTCATATGGAACACAAAGTGTCAAAAGGCGTTTATTGCGGTAAAAAAAGAAATTATGTCGGACAAGGTATTGGCTCATTTTGATCCAAGTCTCCCTCTTATTTTGGCAACAGATACGAGTCCATATGCAATTGAGGCCGTTTTGTCTCATTCATATGAAAATGGAACTGAACGACCCATTCAATTTGCATCTCAAACCCTGACGAAAGTACAACAGAAGTATGCACAAATTGACAAAGAAGCTTATGATCCAAAAATTTTCACCCTCAAAGAGTCTTCCTACGTTGACAACAACTAGGATGCAACATTATGCACTTTTTCTGCAGGGATTTAACTATAAAATTAAATATGAAGATACAAAATGTCACTCTAACGCTGATGCAATGTCAAGACTCCCTGCAATGATAACAAGCAATTGTGATTATGATGTTTCTGATGAGCTAGACATTTTCCAAATTGAAACTTTGCCAATTACATTGAAATAATTCGATTCTGAAACAGTGAAGGATCCAAGTTTTCGAGTTTTACTCGAGGCATTGGGAAAAGGCCATCAAGTAGATGCAAAATAGGTTCAATATTCCTCAAATAGAATTTTCACTGCAAAATAATTGCATTTTACGCCAACAGATGGCAGTCATTTCAAAGAGTTTAAGATACGAAATATTACAAGAGTTACATTCAGTCTATTTCGGTATTTCTAAAATAAAATCACTTGCTCGTGGATATTGTTGGTGGCCAGGAATATCAAAAGATATTGAAAACATTCGCGAAAATTGTAGCGATTGCAACAAAATCAAAAATAACCCTGAGAAGGTACCTGTACACTCCTGGGAACCACCAACAACACCATTTGAGAGAGATAATATAGATTTCGCAGGACCATTCATGAACTCATACTATTTTATTTTAGTAAATTCGTATACACGGTGGCTCGAAATTCACCAAGTAGAGGATATGACCTCTCATAGAACAATTAATTTACTTAGAAACATTTTTAGTTCTTTTGGAATTCCACGAAGTTAAGTATCGGATAATGCGGAAACTTTTGTCGGATATGAATTTAAAAAGTTTTCGCAGAATAATGGAATTTTACATTAACTCAGTGCACCCTACCACCCTGCAACCAACCGGTTAGCTGAACGATACGTACAAACGTTTAAACAAGCTCTCAGATCCATATAAGGTAGCAGGGATGAAAAGGAGTGCAAACTTTCTAAGTTTTCATTACAAAACAGGAAAACGCCACAATCGGTAACGGGGGTAAGTCCTTCATATTTAATGTTCGGTAGAGAAATTAGGTCTAGGTTAGATTCATTGAAACCAACATTGAAATTTGATGTAGATGTTGAACAAAACCCCGAGAAAGTGCGCGATATTCAAGTGGGAAAAAGAGTCGAAGTAAGGGACTACATTCACAATGAGAAATGGGAATTTGGTGGCGTAATGAAGAAGTCAGGCAAACTACATCATCTCGTTGAGCTAGACGATATGAGAGTATGGAAAAAACACATCAACCAAATCAGAGAGATCGGTGAAAATACTCCGTTAACAATTAATAGGAGAATCTTACCAAATATCTGCGAAAACACCACAACATCTGGAGATAACCAAAATATTGAATTTGATGATAATTCAAAGTCGAATGTACCTGAAGAAAAAAATTCAATTTCATCAGATATCATAAATAATGAAAAAAATCCTGTAATACACTTACATGATTTGCACGAAAATGAACCAAACTAACCATCCTTTGATGCTGCAGAGCAACCAGTACCTTGTTCAAGTGATGCTACTCAGGCCAGTGCTCGTAGATCCAAACGAGTTGTCAAACCTCCTGTAAGACTGAATTTGTGATTGTACAATTTTGATTTGTATAGTAAATTTATTAGATGTGGAATCCCTAGGAGGTGAAGGGATGTTATACACTCACCCAATGTCACGGTTATGAGTTTCATAATGTACGCCACTGATATATCATGCATGGCAATATGTAAGTCTGTCGTACATATGTCATAAGTCCTAAGTCGGGATATAATGTGGGTGCAATTATGACAGCGTTCTTCTTGATTGGTACGTGCTATGAGCAACCATATAAGTAGAGCTTTCCAATGTATAAACGGTATGTGAAATAACAGTATGAAAGTATCATCAGTACTTTATTAATTACCAAACGTAGCTATCCCAAAAAATGGCAGTCAATCAGAACTATTTGTATTATAATCCTATGAATTTATATTCTGCAAAATATGCTAATTAAAAAGTTCATTTCATAATCACGTAACAGAAAACTAGTAAGAGAAATAAACAGAGAAGAGTTATTCGCCTGGTGGGTGCCGCCACACTCACTCACTCTTTGACATCATTGGAACACCGTAGGAAGGTCGGCGACTATTCACTTTTCTATCGATACTTCCGAAGGAAATGTTCTTCGGAAATCTCTGCTATCATCCCTTCACTAGCAATACTAGTCAGACGAACTAGACAAGCCCAGTCAGCACATTCTTTCGTTGTCAACCTCTAAAGATGTCGAACAGCTATTTTTCAAAACTCCTTCATCCATAGAACGGCTAGGCTCTGGAATTCATTGCCTGAGGAAGTATTCCCAACAACATTTAATCTCCAGAAGTTTCAAAAAAATTCCAATACCTACCTCCTGTCCCTATCCTCCCTAGGAACGCACGATGTTCCTTTGAACATTATTGGAATTTCCTTTCGTGCGCTCCAAGCGATAAAAAAAGAAAAAACCTGGTTGATTTACGATAAGAGAGTTAAAAACAGTGTATATACCTGATAGGTTTTTTCCTATGCTATTCAGTGTCCTGTAAAATTCACTACCTAATGATTTTCAGAGGAATGAAAAAAGATTGATTGCAAGAGGGGTGCAATTAGAATCATAAATTTATGATATTTGATGCAAGTGATAATTGCCAAACACATGTATCTTGAGTAATTTGTCGGTATCTTATCCCTTCTTGAGTCTAAGTGTATTTTACACCTGCCCAAAATCAGGTGGAGATAAGCTACACTGGTGTGTAATCTTCTTCCCAATGAAATACTCAAATACAGTGTAAATAACAGAAAGTATAGGAAAATGTTGAACTTTTCGAGCATAATGTGACCTCTAATTCGATGCAGATCACTCGTCTACGACTGTGAAATGACAGATGGGCATTTGCGGCTACACTTCATTAGAGATGGGGGGGTTCGTTCCAAGAATATTAACGAAATGTATGGGCGCGTTCCACTTAAAACCCAAAGTGCTCACGCCAATAGACAGCAATTTCCCCGTTCCACTAGCTCACAAACGTCGCGAGCGAAAATTGAAAATAATCCAAGTGGAACGGACGTCGTGAATTGTCGTGATCAAAGCTGTTAGCTGTCACCGGGTCACCGCTGTCACTCATATTTTTTTATTTTTACTGCGATTTTAGAAAAATGGAGAAAATATCTTTGTACGATCCCGAAACAGACACCTCAGTGGAAGTGTTATTGTCCAAAGAAGATGCCACTCGTGTACAAACAGGTAGATAAAATTTAACACAAAATCAATTTTGTACCTAATTTCGTACCTATATGATATTGATACAATGTTGATACGTATTTTTGATAGATATGGAGTTTGCAACTCTCCTAATGAATTCAGCTCTACAAGAACAACGGGCTGTATCCACTGTATCTGTCGCAGAGCAGAATATGGAAACTCAGAATGCAGAACCAGACGAACCTGATGAACAAAAGAAATGTATTGCTACTAATGAGGTGGAAAGCGAAGCAGACGAAGGTATGCCATTATTGTAAACTGTAATTTGATTATGGTCATTGGTTGTTTCAGGTTCTCTTTATCGGTGGTCAGCACCATGTATTTTATTACTTTTGGAGACATACATGGACATGGAAGATAAATTTAGTAATGGAAAATATTCTCAAAAGAAATGCTGGGAGATTGTGTCGAAGACACTGAAAGAGAATCTCTACATTGCCACCGGTCCTCAATAGGCTGCAAAGCTACGCAGCTTGAAAAAAACCTATAAAGCCATAAAAGACCATAATAATAAATCTGGAAATGACCGAAAGACTTGGCAATATTTTAATGTAAAGTTAATATTCACAAAGTTATGAACTTGCACTTTCAATAGGTAATTTTCATTTTCCAGATCATGGATGACATATTTTCAAAAAAGGCATGGTGCATGCCTGTAGCTGTGGCATCATCTTCGGGAATATCCCTGGTTAATGGTGTTAGTGATCAAAAATCACATAGTTCCATAACACCTGGTGAGTTATTCCTACACAATATATTCTCAATTATTCATTCTTGATTACTGTTTCAGGTCCTTCAAATTCTGGAAAAATTTCTGCCACAACCCTTCTTCAAAAGAGGATGAAGCAGAAAGAGCAACATGAAGATGCAAAACAAAAGCGCCACAATGAAAAAATAAAAATGGATCAACAACTCCTTGATATTTTACAAAAGTTTGTTGAAAAAGAAAAGTGATATTGGTGAAGTGATGAAGAATAAAAGTTTCAGTTTGTGTTTTTGTAGAAGATAATTTTATTTTGTCTTTTTTTCACAGTATAGTTTTTGTTAATACTTGTTCATTTTGTTCTCAATATATTATTTTGTTATTTTGTACTTTTTGTTGTTTTTTTTTTTTTCAGTTAATATCAATCCATAATAAGATTATTCATAATTATATTTCTCTTGAGGATGCCTGTATGCTGTTGAGCTAAAGCATGTCCTTGAACATTCTGATTTCTTGCATTGTCTTCGGCATGTGGTGGTATTGCAATAACTGCAATTTCATCCCCTCTCAGAGTGCATATATTGTGAATTACACAACATGCTATGATGTATTTTGCCATCAAATCTAATCTGCGCATTGGTAAGCAATGCAATAAATTTCGCATGCGCCCTTTTAGTGAACCTATACATCTTTCAACAACTACACTTGCAGATGAATGTCTGTAGTTGTAATTTCTTTGTCTGTCATTCAAGTGGCCATTATCTTTGAATGGAGTGAGCAGACGATCATGTAGTTCATAAGCTGCGTCTCCAAGTAAAAAACTATCTAATGGAAATTTATTGGCGTCATTGAGGAAATCTGCTACTTCTGAGTGTCTGAATACCCTTTGATCATGAACTGACCCAGGATATCCTGCATAGCAGTGCATGATTAAAGTTCTCTGGTCACATACCACCTACAAATAAGATAGTGCATTAATTAACTAATGGCATATTTCCACAACTCTTTACTGGCAACTGAATGGAATGAAAACCTTTACGATTCACATAATCTGCAGAATTCTCTTTAGGTGCATCAATGCGGATGTGAGTACCATCTATGGCTCCCATTGTTTTAGGGAAACCACTGCATTCTTCAAAGCCATGTATTATTGTCATGGCTCTATCATGACTGGGCCATTGAATGAAAACTTGAGATTTCCTGAACAGAGCATCAGTTACTCTGCGTACAGCTCTCAAAGCAGTAGCTCTTCCCACATTGAATCGATCACATACAGACCTGGAAACACATAAGTAGATAGAATTTGTTGATGAAATGAAGGTTTTACTCTTTCACCTATATGAATCGATAGTGGCCATTCTCCACAGTGCTATCATCAATTGCTCGCGAGCAGGAATAGTTGGACAACCTTCCAATTTCCGCCGTACTAAATCTTGCCCTATAGTCTGAAGTACGAATTCAAAAGTAGCTCGAGATATTCTAGAAATACAAAAAATGAATGGTACAATAGTGTTGAAAAGCACCATTGTTCACGGAACCTGAAATGACTCTTGAATTCGTGATCTAGGTACCGATCTACAAGACCTGTATAGTTCAATATACGTGGACGCAATTGACGAGTACCCCTTTCTTTCAAAACTGTATCCCATTCATCGTCGGAACTGGATTCACTTTCAGACGAGACAATTTCTCTTCTAACTAGTAATAAATTAACCAAGACTCTCTCCATTTCGATACAATTGATATTATTTCAATTTGTATGATCGTCGAAAATTTGATATTTCAATTTGACTTGACTGCTGAATGACCACGACCGCGTTCCACTTGACCAAAGTGCCATGACGTCCCACGCAAACCCACCTATCGATAGCGGTCGTTGTCGGCTTTCGTGGCTTCTATCCATGACGTCACTCATGACGTTTCAGAGTTGAATAGAGCTTGACCGTAACATATATGGCCCTAAGTGGAACGCCAAAAAATACATTTTAATCGTTGCGGGCCCTATGTGGAACGCACACTATAAGGTCGATTTAATTGGGCGCCAAGTGAATTTCATTTCCTCCACAAATGCCTAAATGGATTCCAATCCCAAAATTCACTAAACTTGAATGAAAACCACTGTATAGCACATGTATCATTGTTTTATTATTGATGAGTGTGAACTGACATAAAATAATAAACAGTATAGCTAAAATGGAATATTTGATCATTTCCACACTAGGAATCAGAGTGAGGAAGACACTCCCAGACTTAATAAGGAAGGAGCAGCAAAAGAACATTAAAAATAGAATACAATAGAATAGAATATTTTATTTGGTGTTAGTGAACATTAAGTTTTACACAGGTCAACAACACAAAAATACTTATAAAATAGATAAAATAGATGAAATAGATAAAATAGATAAAATAGATAAAATAGATAAAATAGATAAAATAGATAAAATAGATAAAATAGATAAAATAGATAAAATAGATAAAATAGATAAAATAGATAAAATAGATAAAATAGATAAAATGGATAAAATAGATAAAATAGATGAAATAGATAAAATAGATAAAATAGATAAAATAGATAAAATAGATAAAATAGATAAAATAGATAAAATAGATAAAATAGATAAAATAGATAAAATAGATAAAATAGATAAAATAGATAAAATAGATAAAATAGATAAAATAGATAAAATAGATAAAATAGATAAAATAGATAAAATAGATAAAATAGATAAAATAGATAAAATAGATAAAATAGATAAAATAGATAAAATAGATAAAATAGATAAAATAGATAAAATAGATAAAATAGATAAAATAGATAAAATAGATAAAATAGATAAAATAGATAAAATAGATAAAATAGATAAAATAGATAAAATAGATAAAATAGATAAAATAGATAAAATAGATAAAATAGATAAAATAGATAAAATAGATAAAATAGATAAAATAGATAAAATAGATAAAATTTCAATGTCCTATAGCATTCCAAAAAGTACATTACATCTCGATTCTGCTGTTAAGGAATTCATCATAGCTGTAGAAGGCTTTCTTGATCAAGTAATCTTTCAATACAATTCTGAGTTATTGTGAAATTCCTAATATGATGTGGTAGTTTATTATAAAATTCTGGAGCATAATAGAGTGAACCATTTCTACGAATTCCTAATAACTCCCAACTGAACAGTGTTGAATACCCACAAGAAATATAGGGAATACCCCATTCAACTGATATACTTAGGCAAAGATGAAGAAATAACAGAAGCCAGACATCTGAAAACAGTTCCAAACGGAAATAGATGTGACGTTGAAAATTCAAAAGAGTGTGGGAGGAGCTGTGTCAATGTTGAACGACGTGTGTTCACTGTCAGAAGTCAATGTCATTCATGAAACAGGCGGTTAATTCAAATTTGAAATCAAACGATTAGGTTTGGTTTGGAATGTGAGTAGATAATTGTAAATTGTACTGAGGTTTGCAATATCTGATCGTTTATTCATACACTTAGGTTCGTTGTTTGTGTGTCACCACAAAATTCATTCATTTTGGAAAGTTCACGAATATCAAAATATTAGATTCACAAACTAGTTATAAAAAAAAAAACTTTCTCAGAAATGGTATATATAAACAACGAATTTAGTTAGGAGGAGGGTAGTCGTGACTGACTAGTTAAGGTAAAAATACATTAACTTTAGAAACAGTTCCAAAGGAAATCTTTCTAGGTGAGGTTACAGTCAAAATTTTTGCCTTAATGAGAGAACTCTTTGTTACTCAGCCGAGCTTTCGGAAATGTTCATTTCTTTTATCAAGGCATCTATAAAAAATGAATTTCAATGATGTCAAAATTTTAGCTCATGAAAATAATTATCTCAAACGAAACTTCCTTGAAATGGTTTTTATCAATAATGAACGTTCGAAAATGAATGAAAGAACCGACATTGGCAACTTGAGTAGCATTTATAATTATTTACTTGCAATAGAACAAAAAAACTGTATTCCTAACAACATATCTAGATTATCACAAACAATTCCTCAGCCTCAAGTTCCTACACTACTGTTCAAACTGACACCCTACAGTGTTGCCAAGAGATACTACCGTTTTATACATATAAAACAAATTGGTCAACAGGTTCGTGTAGTAGCACCCTAGTTGATATTGGGACAAATAGCACCAAAATGTATGAACTTGAGATAAAATAGTTCAAACTGACACCAAATGTATGAATTTGTGATATTGAAGGTTATAGTAACACCTTATAAATCTTATATAAGAAGTGCATCGGAAATGTTTGCTATTTTTCTGTCCATACAACAGTCGTGGAAAAAGATATTAACGTCACAGAATTATCGCATTCTAGAAGGTATTTTGAAAAATCAACAAGATGTCTTTATATAAAAGCACGTAGGTAATCAAAGCTTCAACCTCCATCCAACCTCATCTAAAGCTCCTTACCCGAAGTCAATTTCTTCAACGGTTCTCAAAATGATCTAGGTTGATTATTTTGGATAGCACACATTTCATAAAATTGTGTTTTTAATCTGATCAATAGTTTTATCTGGACTGTTGGAGTAATTTTATAAAAAACTTACTTGTAAAAACGTTCGTGCGTTTCAGATGTATGACCCATAAATTTGGCTAATTGGTCAATTTCATTCGTTTGTGAATTGAGAAGCTGTGTGACAGTCGCAATATGTTTCCTCAACTTACATGATGTTATCAATTCGGGATATTTGGCATTGGATAAATTTGCATATTT